TGCTGAAGTGCTAGTTTAATCAAGTTAATTCTATATCCCTGTTGGGACTAGAGCATGAGGAAATATAGAGTATATATATTTAGCGCAAGTAATGCATAGAGATAATGAAATTACCCTAGGAACTTTGCTCACCTTCTAGCTCTGGAATTCATTCATTCATAACAGAATAATTCAGCCAGACCATTTTATTTTCTTATTTTAAAAAATCTGAAGTCCCAATGATATAAGTTTCTGTAATGGTTTTAACTTAGAATTACAATGTTATTTATCAGTTATTCAAATTTTTAAGGGTGGTAGACAGTGCAGCGGCCATGCAAATTTATTATATTTGGTCCATTTGTTCAGTTTACAGTTTACACTCTCAGAATGTGGCAAACCTTACTTAAAGGATTCTGCAATATTATTAACTTTTACATCCCCTAACTTTTAAACTTCAACCTGGCACAACATATAGTCATTTCTTTTATACTTCAACTTGGCACGACATACAGTCATATCTTTTATACTTCAACCTGGCAGAACATACAGTCATATCTTTTATACTTCAACCTGGCAGAACATATAGTCATATCTTTTATACTTCAACCTGGCAGAACATACAGTCATATCTTTTATACTTCAACCTGGCAGAACATATAGTCATATCTTTTATACTTTAACCTGGCACAACATACAGTCATATATATTATACTTCAACTTGGCACAACATACAGTCATATCTTTTATACTTCAACCTGGCACAACATACAGTCATATCTTATATACTTCAACCTGGCAGAACATATAGTCATATCTTTTATACTTTAACCTGGCACAACATATAGTCATATCTTTTATAATTCAACCTGGCACAACATACAGTCATATCTTTTATACTTCAACTTGGCACAACATAGTCATTTCTTTTATACTTCAACCTGGCACAACATACAGTCATATCTTTTATACTTCAACCTGGCAGAACATACAGTCATATCTTTTAAACTTTAACCTGGCAGAACATACAGTCATATCTTTTATACTTCATCCTGGCTCAACATACAGTTATATATTTTATAATTCAACCTGGCACAACATACAGTCATATCTTATATACTTCAACCTGGCACAACATACAGTCATATCTTATATACTTCAACCTGGCAGAACATATAGTCATATCTTTTATACTTCAACCTGGCAGAACATACAGTCATATCTTTTAAACTTCAACCTGGCAGAACATACAGTCATATCTTTTATACTTCAACCTGGCAGAACATACAGTCATATCTTATATACTTCAACCTGGCACAACATACAGTCATATCTTTTATACTTCAACCTGGCAGAACATACAGTCATGTCTTTTTTAACTTCAACCTAGCACAACATACAGTCATATCTTTTAAACTTCAACCTGGCAGAATATACAATCATATCTTTTATACTTATCTACACTACCACAATACTGTTAAACCTTTTATACTTCTATACACTACCACAATAATGTTAAACCTTTTATACTTCCAAACACTACGAAAAAACTATTATAGATTTTTTACTTCTATACACTACCACAATACTGCTAAACCTTTTATACATACATACACTACCATAGTACTGCTAAACCTTTTATACTTCTATTCACTACAACAATACTGTTAAACCTTTTATACTTCTGTTCACTACCACAATACTGTTAAACCTTTTATACTTCTCTTTACAGTACAATACTGTTAAACCATTTATACTTCTCTTTACACTACCACAATACTGTTATAGTTTTATACTTCTATACACTACCACAATACTGTTAAACCTTATATACTTCTATACATTACCACAATACTGTTATAAATTTTATACTTTTATACACTACAACAATATTGCTAAACCTTTTGTACATACATACACTACCACATTACTGATAAACCTTTTATACTTTTTACCACTTTACACTACCACAATATTGTTATAGATTTTATACTTCTATACACTAGCACAATACTGCTAAACTTTTTATACATACATACACTACCATAGTACTGCTAAACCTTTTATACTTCTATTCACTAACACAATACTGTTAAACCTTTTATACTTCTCTTTACAGTACAATACTGTTACCCCTTTTATACTTCTCTTTACACTACCACAATACTGTTATAGTTTCATACTTCTATACAATACCACAATACTGTTAAACCTTTTATACTTCTATACATTACCACAATACTGCTAAACCTTTCATACTTCTATACACTACCACAATACTGTTATAGATTTTATACTTCTATACACTACCGCAGTACTGCTAAACCTTTTAAACTTCTATACATTACCACAATACTGCTAAACCTTTTATACTTCTATACTTCATTGCCAAAATACTTTCAAATCTTTCAGACTCTAAAAGGGAATAAACAGTAAAATTTTTTTGCTTTTGCAACAAACTCAATTATCATCATTCCTTTCTCTTTGCAACCTAATGGTGTAAACCTTTGACATTTCCATAAAGGATTATTTGATTTAACAAAATTCAATATTTTAAATATACAAGGTCTACGAAATTGGATTGCAAATATATAGGGATTAGAAAATCAGGCTTTATGGCAAAGACTCAATTCTTCAGTAAAAATAGAAATATCTAGAACATATTCAATATATTTGTGAGCTGCGAAATGAATAATTCTATTGTAAAGTTTAATTTTTTTGTTAAGGTTGTTTTCAGACTAACTTTATTAAAGTTACTCTGCTGATCTGTCTTTTTTTAAAAAGCATAAAATTAAATTTCAAGAGTAACTTGAGATCCTTCATGTCTAAATAATCTGTTGTAAAGGGACCTAGAAATTCAATCTGTAACTTTTTTCTTAAATTCTGCCGTAGTTGAACATAAAAATAATCCTGCAAAACAAAAAGAGAAAAATTAAAAAGAATAAATTAAAAGAATACAAATTTAATCATTAGCCGAAAATTGTGCAAAAATCATTGGGTAAAATGCTTGATGAAAACAGTAAGATATTGTTCGTCTTGAAACATACTGTAGGTACTTTAAACTCTGCAGTGTGTTGATTAGAAACATTTCCCCTAACACTTCTACTAAGTACAAGGGTGTATATTTTTAAGAGTTACTCCCGGGGGGGGGGGGGGAATGATTAAAGATCTGGGGAAAAAAAGGAAAAATTAAACATCTAAATTCAAGTTTTTTCTTCCTTTTTCAAACGTTTTACCCCCAAAAATATTTTCCACAATTTAGGGAAAATAACAAAGAACTGGGAGAACAATCATTTACAAAAGAGGAGGGGGGGATATTTAAAAGAAAATATACACCACTGAATATATATCCCTGCTACTCACTAGGGAATAGAGGATATAAATTCATTCCATTATTTCTCACTTTATCAAGTTCAGTTGGAATTAGACCTACATCCCTTATTGTGAACTATCAGTATTAAGTATAATATCAGTCAGTAGACCATCAGCTGATACTAACTGTATATGTACATGTATGTATGTTTCTGACTGAAAATTAACAACAAAAAAGCAGTTTACAACCTTCTATTACGTTAGTAAAAGTAACAACAAAATTAAAAGGGTCATTCCCTTCCTAAAAAGCAAAGAAATAAAGTGCTATAAAAAATTAATATTAAATTAACTTGGAACTGTTACAAAACAATGTTTGTAAGATGTAAATTTTTGTATTTTTCCTAAATTTGAATTAAATTTGTATTTTAAAAAATGTTTTTTTTTTTCTTTACTCACAGAAACATAGTGGTTAACAATAATTATTGCCAAGTTTTAAAAACATAGTTTACCCCCAATACATTATCAAGTACAACAACAGAGAAATGGACAAATTATACACGACGTCACAAGTGTCAAATATAACAAGGAAAACAAAATTTTCTCAAATTAGTTGAGATGTTTTCCTAAATCAAATAAAAAAGTGCAAACACATAAAATTGCCTTTATTTTACTGTAAGATAAGCACTTTTTTTCTAAAATTATCACTATATTAAAATTTTTGTCGGACACAAAAACTGAGTTGACACTTGTAACGTACTAGAATATATTTGGTTTACACTAGTCTTACTTATGTGACTTGAAGGTTTGACAAACTTTAATTCTACTTAAAATTCGCTGTGCTCATTGTATTATTTGTATCGACATAGTGGAGAGTGGATCGATAAAATCATAAAATTTTATGAGGAAAATCCTACCAGAGAATACTGGAGAAACAGAATAAGGAACAGAATGCAAGTAAGCGGTGTAAGGAGGGTGGGGAGGGGGACGTCCCCCCTAGAAAATTAAGGGGCGCAAGAAGAGAGAGCAGGCGCCTTGTAACCCTGTATTTTTTCCAGGAATAGATTAAAAAAGTTTTCTTGCGTAACCACTTCATAAATCGAAATGAAGATTTGTTATTAATATGTATTAAAAAATCCTAAATTTGGGAACACATTTTCCCCCTTCCACCCCCAAGCAATGGATACAATTAACTTCAGACTTCTTATCTATCCAGGAACCAATAAATACCAAGACATAGTTGAACTGCTTCTCTTCAGTTCAAGTTGACCCGGTATACAAGAGAAGTGGTATTTTAATTAGTTCAATCGATCATGTGTGACATACACCTAAATACCCTTAAAAAAGACTGTTCTGCTCACTGAAGCTTTATGTACTGCAATTTCGAGATGACTGCAGTACACAGTCATTTGTTTGATAAAAAGTTTAACATTAATTTGTTCTCAGATTTTATCCAAAAAAATTGGATATTGATAGAATAATTTCTTTCAATTAAAGTGAAATTCAAATCAAGTAAAATTTAAATTAATTTTTATTTTGTATTACTACTATTTGTTAAGTAAAATTTAAATTAATTTTTATTTTGTATTACTACTATTTGTTAAAAATCTAAACAAAATAATCTAACAGGCTTGAATCCTCTTAACAAAGTGATAAATTCTGTACAAAAACTTGAAAATACTGCGACCCAAAATTATTCTAAAATTCTAGCTTACCATTACAGAATTGACTGGTCTGTTTAAAGAAATTGTTTCATCTTCATCAATTTATCCAGCAATATCTACAACATACAACAAAAATTAGAATATAAAAACGTTTAAAATGATTGCGAAGTTTTCGTCAAAAAATGCGAATTTTTGTAGTCATATTTCAATATATGAGTGTAATCAATCATTTTATATGTAATATTCTTCTTCTTGGAGGTGTAATTGTATGGTAATCTAAGATGATAGAGAAAGGTCCAATTGTATATTGCAGGTCTTATAGATCCAGGGGCTTACCAAAATTCTGATAACTTTTTTTCCAATTTCAAATGAATAAGAAACTTAACTCTTCAAAACCGCCTGGCTTAAATGAGAATGGGAAGGGGGTTGTATACACCCCTGCTTGGGATTAAGTAAATATCTCATGTATTGGGAAGAGGGAACTTTACATTTATAGATAACGTCAGGTAAATTTCGATTAAAAATATTTTTTTTTCGAAAGAAAAAATCCACTTTATTTCAGCCCCTGGGGTACTCAAGGGTTCCCTAACAAAAATGACAGCTCATATGGTCCGGTCAGATATAGCTGACATATTAATATATAAACAAACATACATTACACACAAATATAAATATACGATATATATAGATATATTACATATTATATTTTCTATTACATTTTATGTATTTATGAATTTTACAGTACAGAGCCTCTCATATCATATTGAACTATCCACCATGTAGAATCATAATGTAAAAAAATATTCTTAATAAAGTGGGTTTTATTTTATAGAGAAAGTTTAACTTCCAATGCAAAGCTGGGTACCAAAGCTATTAAATAGTAGGATAAAAAAGTTAATTTAATTAAACATAACCAAAAATTATTCATGTACTGCAGCATGAACATTGAAATATAATTTAAAATATCGATTAAACAATTCCATCATATACTTTCCATTTCATTTATAGCGTCATACATATAACGTATACAGACGTTAAACGCTATAAAATGGATTAATTAAAATCTTAAATTTAATTTTATATAAATAATTGTTGAATAAAGGTTAATCACTGAAACTAAATGTGTTATTGGAAGGATACTGTTAGACTTAAAGAAATGTTTGAAATAGTCCACATACACATAATACACAACCTTAACAATTGTACCGTCACAAACCTATGTTACTTTAGAAGTTGATTTTTAAACTTTAAACTAATAGCAGTAACCATATCAAGCACCAAGTTCACACAAGATAGTCAAAATGTCGTCTTCACATTCGACTTTTTTAATGGGCTCACAGTATACGCAATAAATTTTACGTGCAGTCTCTTTGTATCCAATAACCGTTACACGACTGAACCCAAAAATGTTTCAGGACGGTTGAAAGTAAAAATCTTGCTTGGACAAATTTAGATTTTTTAATTTTAGAAATTTATCAATGCTTTTTACAGAAAATCCTCATTTCGCATTTCCGTTAGTAGAGCTGGACACGAACGTCTTAATAGCCAAGCACTTTAAAATTCTTCATTTCAATTGACCCTATTAAATTCAGATAATGATAATTGCTTATATTGAAAAACTGAATTATGGTTCGCAAAATAATGAAGAAAATTACCTTAAAACCGCAGAGTTGATGCTCCAATTTTAGAATTAATATATCACAACCTAATCACATAGAATTCACCGTAACATTTTAGCTTCAACTGAAAATCAAAGAGCAAAATTGGAAAAAATTGAAGAATTAATTAAGTCTCATAGCAGGAGAAAAGTTCTATTTTTATTGGCTGAAGGCTTTTTTTTGCGGTGGAGTGCTTCTCACATTTTCTCTGAACCACTTCATGCATGTCCGTATTGGTTTTTATATTTTTAAATGCATTAGAGTAAGATTCAAGGTAAAGAGTTAATGAACTTTTTCTATAAAAAGATTGATAATTCCAAAAAGGGATGATTTTGCTTTTTGTAAAAACAGCTGATGGAATAACAATAAAGATGGTTTTTACCATCACAGCACATAGGGACGTCGGAGCCCACTTGAATACTGGCTCCTTTCTCTGGTTTTCTACGAGTCCTTTCTGCCGGACGGGCCCGACCTCGGATCCTGCCTCGCTGCCCCGGACCGGCCTTTCCGCGTACTGGTTTGATCTCCGGTGGTACCGACATGACCTCCGTATTTGTCCTTCTCCGAGCATATCATCCATCCTCTGGCAGAATTTACGGAGCCAACGGAGAATATGGGCGTGCAGGGGTTTTCAATTAATAAACTCCTGGATAAGAGATTGTTCACGGTTTTCATTTACAAACAAAAACAGCTAATTTTAAAAATGATCAGTATACGTGCAGCGGATAATGATTATTCCCATAAATCAGAAGGGGGGGGGGAAGTAATATTTGTGACGACAATTTAATCAGGGGTGTACTGGAAGGGAATAACTTTTGGCCAACATTACCTTCATGATTCACACCCCTAGAGGTTATTGTTCACTTCCAGAAGAAAATTTATTTAATATTGACCCTAGATCGGCTGGGGGGTCTGAATCTATGTAAAGACGTGGGGAAGGGAGCGTTCTTGAAGAAAAAGACATTAGAGTAAGAGGCACTTTAATGATCTCCCTTTATTCCATCCTCCACCCTACGAACCCTACCATATGCATCCAAAAAGAAAGATGAACAAATCCTTTAAATTACGTTTCCTTAAAATTAACAAAATATTAAGGGGATAGTGTCAAAAACTAGAGTGGTGTGTTCAAATTCAACTACAGTTGTGGGCGTCCCCTCCCCCTTCACTATCCGACTCTGGTCTCCCTTGTTTTTAACCACCTCTGCACTGCTTCCCCAAATATACAACCCTGCTCACCCTTGTTTTTAACCACCTCTGCACTGCTTCCCCAAATATCAAACCCTGCTCCCCCTTGTTTTTAACCACCTCTGCACTGCTTCCCCAAATATACAACCCTGCTCCCCCTTGTTTTTAACCACCTCTGCACTGCTTCCCCAAATATACAACCCTGCTCCCCCTTGTTTTCAACCACCTCTGCACTGCTTCCCCAAACATACAACCCTGCTCCAGCTGTTCACAACCAAAGGCTGGATTAAACCTAATGCTCTACTATAGGTAAACATTGCGAATTCTTTTTTAATATGATAAAGGTGATTCAGGTGATAGAGTTTGATAAATTTTCATTAAATAATTAAATCGTCAATATATAAGAAAAGAATATATACAAGCATAAATAAAATAGGCCCAGGGGCTTAGGGTTCCACCCCCCCCCCGCATTTATTCTTGCAGAAACAAATGCAGAATGTAAAAAAATCAAATTACAATCTTCAAAACTTTAAACTAAAATTAGTTAAACAAGAATGAATAAAAAACGTAAACACATCATAAAGGAATGAAATCCAAAAAGTGGTCCATAGCAACTATTTAAAATGTTTCAAAGGAACTGTAGACATAGTTTATAGTGAACTTCTACTTAGTTTATGAGCATCAGGTTCAAATAATTAAAATATACCCTTTATTTAAAAGTGGCGTCCGCCTACAAGCAGTTACGTCATATGATGATATTGAGTGTCCATTGCTATGAAGACGACATTTTCATTTCATTGGAGCCCATCCATTGAGTATCTAACTTTAACTAACAAACTTAATAAGTCTTGTAAGGTAAATCAGGGAAAATAACGATCACACTTACATTACAATATACAACGTTGAAATTTACATATTTTAAAGAAATTAAATAGACAAAAGAATTAAGAAGATTTAGGGGTAAAAATGAAAAAAATGGAAAGCTTTTTTCATTCTTTATTGATACTCTTCACCAAAAAATTTAATTTGTTCTTCGTGCAAATAATTAAAATTCCCAAATTCAGCAAAAAAAAGAGGAAAAAATATGTAACTTCTGAAAAAAGAGGTTTTTTAGGAAAATATACACTTAGTGATTTTGCTTAAAGACTGCTAAAACATAACTGTGTTTTTCTTTGAACTTATTTCTTTGCGTCTCTATTAAACGTTTAAAAGAAAGGCAATCATGTCCAATAATTTTAATTCTATAGTTTTATCAACTGTAACCAACGCGCCTAAAAGAAAGGGTTATACTAACGTCCTGGAGTTGAAAGTAAAAAACGACTTGAAAATACATTACAACTTTATAAAAATATAATTTTTTAATTTAAAAATAAAATAAAAAAATAGAAAAAAAACTTAGTGAAATATCCAACAGGTTAATTCTCAGTTAAGATTTTTAAATAAATTATAAGTTTGTTAAAGAGGCCTTTTATTTCAAAATTCAGGTTTTTTAACTTCAAAAATGCCGGAATAGAAAAATACAAAATAATGAATCAAAGATTAAATGTAAAAGAGAAAAATAGTTTCTGCTCTTAGGAAAGGGATGATTTGATTTATCAACTATTGATAATAAAAATATGAGTAAAAATCTCAACCAACAATTGAGCAAAAAATGTACGGAAAGTAAGGTGAAATCTTATGAAACATTGTGAAGGATATAATAAGTAAATAAATATCCCTGGTTAATCGAAATAACAAATTAAATATAGACTATGTGTATTTCAATTTTGTTGTTATTTATACGATGATGAGTAGTACTCTTCTTCCAACTCAAATAGATCTGTCGCCATCTCATCCCGCATTTCAGTCAATTTTCGGTCACACGAACCCTTAACAAACAAACAATCCAGGGCTGTATATTTTCTTGAAAATCATTCCCAACTCATTCTGCTTTCATCCCAAGATAATAATTGTACATATAGTTTTACTATTCAAAGTGCTAAAATATAATTCATTTATTTCTCCCCTCTTAATTCAAATATGTTATGCAAAATATTCTCATTATTCTGGATCATCGTAGAAATATCTGGGTAATGGGAAGAAAAAGATGTATAAAGAGAGGGGGAGAGTTCCCCTTGGTAATTGGTGACTACAGTGATAGCCAGACAACTTTGAAATAGGAAGACGACTTTTCACTAAATTGGTAATTTAATATTATTATTATTATTAAAAGCAGAGGCCCATCATTCAATGAATTAGGGTTCGACGTTCCTCGCCATCGCAGTGAATCCATTGGCAAAACCTATTAGCCTATTAGCTTTAAAACATCAAGTAACTTTAAGTAAACTTGTCTTCCTATTCCAGTGTTTTTTGGTTATCACTGAACCTGCATCTCCTTGAACACGTTAGAGTTCTGTGTGATGGCCTCGTTGACACTGGGGAAATCGTTGAGGATAAGGTACTGCTTCAGGTCTGACACTACAACACACAAACAATCAAATATTTTGAAAATTTTAAAAAGAAAGAAAATTGAACTATAGCAATAAAATGTTTAGTAACCCGTTATAAATAAAGAACTATCAACGTTCAGTCAGAAGTCAGAACTTTAGTATTGTGAATCTCAGGATCAAGCATTAATCTACATCTCATGCAGATCTATGGATTAATCTCCATCTCATGCAGATCTACGGATTAATCTAATTCTTCTTCGAATTCTAGTCATACCCAGCATAGAATACAAGATGAAGGGATCAAGCATTGATCCTTACATTTATAAGTGGACATATTGGATATCAAGATCAAGAGTTCATAAGTAACGATATCCTCGCAATAGTTTTGACCTCAGAGTCCGAGTTTAATGAAATTGAGCCGCGTCTCAAATCCGTCAAAAAATCCGGTTTAAATTGGACACCGGCTCTTGAAACATTGAGTACATACATTGAATATGGAACTAACCATATTTTAGCCGCGGCTCAAATTCTTTAAATTCTGCCTCAGGTGTCGGTTGAGAAACTTTTTGAGGGAACCCTTGAGTACCCCGGTTGTATTTAAGGCTTAAAAAAATAGATTTTTCTTTCAAAAATCAATTTTCTTTTTAAAATTCGAAGTAAAAAATCTACGGGCGACACCAAGCTCTTCAGCAAGTTACTATTATAAAATCGTTCATGGCATTTCTTTAACGACGGATTTAAATGGTTTTAAAAAATAAAAATAAAACTGACTTTCTAATAATTCAAATAAATTCCTTTCATTAATTGTTTAATTGACATACCAGCCAGATTCCAGATTGAGAAATTGCTTTGGGGGGGGGGGGTTGTAGATTGCATATTAAGCAAAACAGTTAAAGTTAAATAAAGTGAATACGGGTAGACAGAAAAGAAGAATATTGGAAAAAATTATTATCTGAATTAAAAACATGCGTCAATTAATAGTTGCTAAAAAATTGTAATTTTTAAAAAAAAAGATTGAAAGAATATACTAAATTATTGATTGATTGATTGATTGCCTAATTTCATAAGAGATTCTCCTGCTCTAACCATATTGGAGGCTCGCACCTGAATATTTAAATAATCAGTATTTATTTTGATAACTATCTGTCTGTTTACTTCAAGACAAGGAACTGCTGAACCAAATGGACTTTAAATTTTCTGTTCACAAGGAAAAAGCTGAAAAATTCAAAAAAAAATAAAAAATCATATAATTAAAACACGTAAACAACAGTAAAGTAAAATAAAACTAGTTAAAGGAAGTGTTGTGGAGACCCTGGATTACCAGCTGATTCCCGAAGCTCTGAAGACCAAACCAAACATATTTATTCAGTTCGTTTTTAGATGTTGTAAGTTAGAGACAAAATATATATAAGTCTGTTTATATCTTTGTTATTTTGCGTCGCTACATTTTGGTGACCCCGACGTGATTTCGTCGCTGTCGAGTGTTAGGCAGTCTCTCTCGCCGACGTACCTGAAATTGGTTTCAACCGGGTCCCTGCGTTCTTCAAACCCAAATACCAAAGTAAGGTTTCCAGCGAGATCTCGAGAAAATTTAACATTAGCGATTAGTTACAGTAGCGATTGTCAACATGCCGGAGGAAGAAGGAAGTGATGTACCCCTGTCTGCAGTTCCTTTGACAACAGTGTCCGTAAAACTTCCGACCTTTTGGACCGATTCTCCAGATGTATGGTTCATCCAGGCCGAAGAACAGTTCGAGGTAAAAAGGATTACTGTCTCACAAACCAAGTTCAATCACTGCCTCGCTGCATTGCCCCAGGATGTTGCCTGTCGACTTCTAGACCTGGTCCGAGCTCCCCCTGCCGCTCCTTACGAAGCCCTGAGAAGTCGCCTCATCCAGATGTATACGTTGAGTGATTTCCAGAGATATCAGGCGTTACAAAGTTTGCCTTTGTTATCTGACCAACGTCCTTCTGAGCTAATGGATAGAATGTTAGTTTTGCTCCCTGAGGATGAGAAGCCTGGTTTTTTCTTCAGGGGATTGTTTATGGACCGTCTCCCTGCTGATATTCGAGCACATTTGCTCTCTGAATCCATCAGTGACCCACGGAGGATGGCTCTGCGCGCTGACGAGTTATTGATGGTCCGTAGACGCAGTGTTCCTGTGCAGGTTCTCTCTGACAGTTTGTGTATGTTTATGCTTTGCCGCGGAGAAATTCGTCCACTAGATCTGGGACTCGGGGTTCTGTTCCTAGGTCTTCAAGTCGTCCCTCAGTTCCAGAAGACGGTAGGGGAACCGATTCTTCCGGGGTTTGCTGGTACCACCGCCGATGGGGAGATGCAGCTAGTCAGTGTCGAGCTCCCTGTTCCCGTTCGGGAAACTAGTCAGTGGCGGGGATTATTTGAATGCAATTCCCGCCGGTTCTCCTTCCTCAAATCTTATATTTTTGCAGAATATTCTATCCTCTCGCAAGTTTCTGGTTGACACTGAAGCCTCTGTATCAGTCTATCCACATCTTCCTCAGCAACCTCGAGCTCCTGGTGTGGGAGTTCAGTTAAGAACCGCCGACGGTACTGCTATGGATACCTATGGTTCTCGTCAGATAGCTCTACAGTTCGGGCCTCGTCGTTTTGAGTGGACTTTTCTCCTAGCAGATGTGTCTATGCCTATCTTAGGATCAGATTTTCTCCGCCATCACCACCTCTTGGTCGACGTTGCCGGTGCCCGTCTCCTAGATGCTGCAACCCTGGAACCGATTCCCGCTGTTCCCTCGACAAAACCAGGAAAACATTCAGAGTTGTACGCTGCATTAGTACCTACCTCTGAGGAATTCAGGGATTTGTTAGCTGAGTATCCTGATGTTATCTCTTCTAAGGATTTCAGTGCAGCTGTGCCAAAACATCAAGTTCGTCACTCCGTTCCAACAGTTCCTGGTCTGCCGGTTTTTGCCAAAGCTAGAAGGTTAGATGCAGAAAAGCTGGAGTCTGCCAGGAAAGAATTTGCTGCAATGGAAACTGCTGGTGTAATCCGCCGTTCAAACTCTCCTTGGGCAAGCCCTCTTCATATGGTACAGAAGCCTGACGGTTCCTGGCGTCCTTGCGGCGATTATCGCCGGTTGAATACACAGACAGTTCCAGATCGATATCCTCTTCCCAACTTAGCTGATTTTACTTCTAGACTCAACAGTTGTACAGTTTTTACCAAGTTGGATCTGACCAAAGGTTATTATCAGGTGCCAATGAACAAAGGTGACATCCCTAAGACGGCAGTTATAACCCCTTTTGGTCTGTTTGAGTGGATCAGAATGCCGTTTGGTCTCAGGAATGCAGGATGCACGTTCCAAAGGATGATGGACCAGATTTTAGGTGACATTCCACACTGTTTCGTGTATGTCAACGACCTTCTCATCGCCAGTCCTGATGCTACATCACACCTCGACCATGTCCGTCAGGTTTTCGACCGTCTCCGCCTCCATGGTCTGAGCATAAACCCTGCCAAGTGCGAGTTCGCCAAACCTGAATTTGAGTATCTTGGAATGATGGTTTCAAGCAAGGGATGCTTTCCTCTCCAGAAGCATACTGAAGTTATTTCGTCCTTCCCACGTCCTGTAGACAAGAAAGGACTTCAACGTTTCCTTGGTATTCTGAACTTCTACAGGAGATTCATCAAGGGCGCTGCAGGAATTCTCGCTCCGCTGACAGAAGGATTGAAGGGAAAAGTATCAACTATCTCCTGGACATTGGAAATGAACCAAGCATTCGCCGTGGCCAAATCTCTCCTCTCAAGTGTGCCAACCGTTTCTACAGGAATCCACCGTCCGTTGGTTCCTGAGGCTATGAGAAAGAATGTTTTTAATGCAATCCACAAAATTTCTCATCCTGGAAAACGTGTCTCACGAAAACTGGTTTCCAGGAGTTTTGTTTGGGAATTCCTATCTAAAGATGTAAACCTCTGGGCTCAGTCTTGCCTAGATTGTCAGAGGAGTAAGATCCAGAGTCATGTGAAGTCTCCTGGTCCACTCCCTCAGTCCGATGGTTTTTCTTACCTGTTCACCATCATTGATAGGTCAACAAGATGGCCGGAAGCAATTCCTCTCAAGTCTACAACTGCGGAGGAGTGTGCAAAAGTCATCCTACGTTCCTGGATTCCTTTATTCGGGGTACCTTCTTTAATTACCTCAGATTGTGGAGCTCAGTTCACTAGTTCTGTTTGGTCAGCTTTGTGCAGGTTCCTTGGTATAGTTCATTCACCAACAACTTTGTTCCATCCTCAATCAAATGGTATCGTGGAACGGTTTCATCGACAGCTCAAAGTTTCTCAATGTTCTCGTTAAGCTGGAACGGATTGGTTCCATCATCTGCCCCTAGTATTACTTGGACTCCGGAGAGTAGAGAAGATTCATCTGTTTCAGCTTCTGAAGCCCTTTTTGGTTCTCCGTTGGTTTTACCCGGAAAATTTCTAGACACTCCAGAGCTGCCCTCATCGGAGTATCTCAGAAAAATCCAGTCTATCCTAAAGAACAGTACATCAGTCCTACCTCATCACTCTGCAGTTCCAGCCACAAAGCCAGACCAGATCCCTTCAAGTTTAGCTACTTGTTCACATGTTTTTATCAGAGAGGATGCATCAAAACCTCCGTTATCTCTGTTATATAGAGGGCCATATCTAGTCCTCTCCAAGTATCCAAAGTATTTTCTCGTTGAATTGGTTCCAAGTCTGACTCTGTCTCCGTGGATCGGCTTAAACCTGTACTCTCTGATCACCCAGTTACTCCTCAGCAGCCTCCCTGACGTGGAAGACCTCCGTTGTCTCCGGCTCTGTTAGCTCCGGCTCCGTTGGCTCCTGCCTCTCCAGCACCTCTCCGGAGAGCCCCAGGAATGAAGAAGAAGGTTCGGTTCTCACCTCAAAAACTTTCTCCACTCCCAACGCGTAGGAACCCACGAAGAGGAGTACGGGATAACCATTGAGTGCTTCATCATCTTCATCACCTCGATGCTGGGGGGACCCCTGTGGAGACCCTGGATTACCAGCTGATTCCCGGAAGCTCTGAAGACCAAACCAAACATATTTATTCAGTTCGTTTTTAGATGTTGTAAGTTAGAGACAAAATATATATAAGTCCGTTTATATCTTTGTTATTTTTCGTCGCTACAGTGTAACTGTAATTTTAAATGATTTTAACAGTATCCGTTAAACCTTTGTTTTTTTTCTTTATGAAATATAATTATTTTTCTTTGGTTTCTTTATCTTTATCTTTAAATGAAAGGAATTAATTAGAGAAAGAAGAGGAAAAATAGTACTTTTTGTCTGGGTATTTAAAATCAATCTTGTGAATATCCAGGAAGGGGTTTAAAAATGTTTTTTAAAAAAACCTGCATTTCTAGTGCATCTTCTTCCGCCTGAGTAGCTCTAGTAACCTGGAATATTTTCAACACAATTAAATATCTTAATTTCACTAAATAAATAGATCATTGATAGCGCGCAAAATCTTAAAAATTCTCAGCCTCTAGTAGGCTGTTAGGTTGCTGCAATCAACACTCTGATTGGTTTCATATTGGACACTTTCCTGGGTAATAACGTAAGATTAAATTAATCTGCTGATTAATAAAAACAGGAGATCAAACATTGATCTCGATATTAACAATTCTAAAGTTTTTAGCTCAGACGCCAATTTAGTTACAAATGCACAAACTCAAGTTCTAGTTCAGAATTTATTGTATTCATTAATATCATTAACTTTTTATATAAATATCTAGATTTTAAAAAATTAATATCGTTAACTTAATAAAAAAAAATAAAATAAAAATGTTTAAAAAATTATCAAATACAGTGAGAACCAGAGAACTCTGGATTTGATTAAGAAGAGGACTTTCGGACTCAAGTTTTGACTTCAAACAGTCCAATGAACATGAGACACAGCAATTATGCAATGTAAAGCTTACAAGTAAAACTTCCTTTTAACAATATAAAATACACTTTTGTATTGGTTGAATGTCGTCTTCCTATTCTACAGTTTTCTGGTTCACACGAAATTTTAATAGAAAAAAAAATTAAATTTGTTCGCCTATGTTACCCAAGGGTTCCCTAAAAAAATGTCAGCCAATTTGGTCCAGTCGTTTGGCCAGCTATAGCTAGGGATGTGCAATAGCCAGATTCGTTTTACAAAAACTTTAAATGTTTTTAGGCTTTTAAAAGGTTGTACTACAATATGAGAAGGTTCTAACATTTTAAAACTTTATTCTGTATAACTTTGTTTTTATCAAACTTGCAAATATGTTACCTAGAAGAAAACGTAAGGCAAAATCGATCGTTTTGGGGTTTTCAAAACGATAGTTTTTGGTTCGTTTTAGCCTTATATTTTCGCCTAATATATCAAAGTTGCATGTTTGAAAAAAGCAAACTTCTACAAAATACAATTTTAAAGAGTTGGACCCTTCTTAGATTGTCGTAAAACCTTATTCAAGTCAGTATTAAAAGTTTCTGTAAAACGAATATTTCTATTGCCCATAGCTAGCTATGGCTAACATATAAATATATTGTATATATATATGAAAGTGCGAAGAGATTTTTTTAATAAAGTCACCTGTGTTTCATCCTCAATTCTTGCCAGTTTCACGATTTCTGTCAAATTAACGGCCATCGAATTTATGTCATCCTAAAACAAACAATTCTATTGAAATCTGATTTAATAAAATGTAAATTTAAACTCAATTACTTAATAATTTGTCATAAAAAATATAATTACGCTTTTAATGAATATATTAAGCAGAATGAAGCTGCATGAACCTCTTTCCTAGTTCGCTAGTTCAAGTGATTGAAATTAGTCCATGCAGTTCAACTGCTTATTAGATATATTTGAATTTGATATAGATGTCTGGACTAATTCTTAGATATTTGACTAACGAACAGTTGATTTAGCTGTCGTAATGCTTTATTAACTTCCGTCAGAGTAACATTCACATATCTGGTGTGTTAAAAACCCAGGGGTGTACTCAGACTGTATACTGTATATACTTTCTCGGAAAATTATCCCATGAATTTTTTAGTATTAAAAAGAATTAAATAAAACTTTCATGTAGATCTCAAATTTTAAAATTTTCCCCTCAGGACAATAAATATTTAAAAACTTGCCGAGAAAAACACACACATTACACACGTGACTAATTGATAAGTTTAAAAAATAAGTAAAAACTTAAATATTTTTTTTTAATATTAATAATTTACTTTTAATCGTTTTCTGTAAGATTTAAGTAAAGCATCCTTACTAACTGCTACATCTCTCTTAGCCGGCTGGTTAAGCATCATAATTACTGAAATAAAAAACATTGATCTTTTGTTATTAGTCCTCTGCGATATGACATCCAAAAGAACTTGGGATAGAGTGTCAGAGGAAATGAAAATTGAATGTCTAGGAATTAAAAAAAAACGAAATAATTCAATGAATTTTACAATATGGCGGAAATAGCATAACATCACAATTTTGGCGCCAACATGAAAACGTAGAAAATGCGCAACTTCGGGGAGAAGATGCGGGAAGGTATTGAGTTAAGTACACGGCACTGTGAGATCATCTGCGCTTCTGTGTCGAGATGTATAGAACATTGTTCCCTCTTATGAAGGCATCACCGTACTTGTTCTTCAGCTGTCCATTCACATACTCCTATAAAATTAATTTATAACTTTTTTTAAAAAATTTAAACTTTAAATTGTTTTTACCTCTGTCTGTTCCAGAGCAATATTCATGTATCCATCCAGGCAAGTGAGTACCCCACGATAATCAACTCCTAATAAGAACAATATGTTGATTGGCATAATTGTATATTTTCTTCTCTTAAATGGGGAATATAATTAGTTTGTATGGGAAATTAAATAAATATTAGAATAAAAGTATGATAAAGTATGAAAAAACTGCTTTTAGATGTAAAATTTTTCATTTCTTCAGATTATCCAAATTTTGATGAATTTTGATAAATTCTAAATGAGAAGACAACAATTATGGCAGGGTTGTTTATACTTTGTAATTGTTGGATTTTTCCACTCCTTTAAATAACAATTGATTGCATTTTCTTTTTCAAATCAACCATGACAACTGAATTTTACATTATTAAAAAAGTTTCAATTACTTTTTACATCCTAAAAATTCCGCCGCTACTTTAATTTTCACTCTTTGATAATAGAGAAAATTTGGAGGGAAAACTAATTAAACTTGAAATTCAAACTTTATTTCTTGACAAAATTCGAAAACATAAGAATTAAGATTAAAACTATTATTGTCGAGTTGAGTTAAGTTGAGTTAACGAGCATTTGAAAACAATAAAAACACATTTCGCAGATTTTCCTCCTTAAATTAGCAATTTTTTTGTAATTACGGATAAAAATTTTGGACGAAAATTTTGATAGTTTTGACGTACCAAAAATGACCAAATGGATCCGCACTGGAAAAAATGGATCCGGATTCGGACTGAAGATTGACCGTTTTTATTTATTTATTAGTGAATTATATAATAAACTAGGCCTTTATGGCGATTCGCGCCCATCTTCTATTTCAATTGTGAACATGTTCTCTTTGTATACAATGTAGAAAAAAAATTTCGTGGATTTTAAAAGTTTTCAAAATCGAATTTTGATAGACAAATATTCAAAAAATTCGATTTTCCATAAAAAATTTGGACCGATTGGTTCAGCCGTTCTGACGTATATTGGATGCATACAAACAAACAAACGGAGGAACAAAGATTCATTTTCTATTGCAATTGTGATCATGTTCTCTTTGTGTAAATTGAAGAACAAAAACAAAAGAAAAAATTCCGGAATTTTATGAATAAAATATCGTTGATTTTAAATTTTTTTATATCAAATTATTTTAGAGACAGATTTTTGAAAATTCTATCATCCATAAAACTTCCTTGGGGTCACGTGAGGTCCCACAAAAAACTTGGCCCCGGTCGGTAAAGCCGTTTTGATGTTTATTGGATACAAATGGACAGATAGACAAGCAAATTATATATATATATTTAAAAATAGCACCTAGTACATTAGTCAAATATCTGATTCTGAACGATCCCTTTAAGCATGCGTTTACTGAACTTTACCTGAATTAAGTTTAACGACGACAGGTCGACCAATGATTTGTTTTAGAAACTCATTTGGATCCTGGCGCTTGGGAGCAACGGTGGTCGACATTTTTCTGAAAAAAATGTTTACAACGTTCATTAAAAAAAATTGAACAATGTTAAATTAATGTAACAACAATGTGACATAACTTCACGGTAAAATAAACCCAAGCATACATACATCTCATAAAGCCAACCTTGGATCGTTTTCAGACGAGACTTCAATTTCTTTTTGATGACGCAGAAAAACTGCATGTTTAAATAATAAGTCTTGTTCAAAGTAAAGTATTGGAGTTGATAAAAAAACATTTAGAGGGAAAAAAGAGAAATAAAGTTTTAAAATCAAATAAGAAATAAAATTCAAGTTGAAATTCTCAATCTTCACATTTTCCAAAGCTCTAAAATCATATTTAAATTTCCTCTCACAATAACAAGTGTTACCTTTACCAGGGGTGTATATTTCCCCGAAGAAAACCATCCCACCTCCTTTTGAAAGTCATTCTTTTACGTCAGAAGTTGTGAGTTTTTTTTAAGTTTTCTTCACAAAACAGGCGGGTAATCAATGATTTTAAATGAATTTTTGAAGAAAAAGAAGAAAAAATAAACTTGCGTTTTGAGTTCCGATTTTGATTCCCCATAAAGATATACACCCCTGAACTTTGCATTATTGCTTTGCTTAAAACAAATACTATATATAATCGCCCTAAATGATCAAATCATTGACAATTGTACATTATTTTTTCAAGCTTGACGAAGGATGTATTGTTTAACCCCGTCTTCCAACTTCTCGTCTCAAGAAACTAATAATATTTATCCCTGCAGCAGCAGTCAGGTCTCCAACCTAGAGAGAGAGGGATAGATAGATAGATAGATGTACAGGGATATTTAATTTCTTCACGAATCATTATTTTCTTATCCCACCCGGCTTTTGAATTTCTTCCCCCCCCCCCCCATTAAACCACTGAAAAATATAAGGCTAAGTTAGGGGAATACTAATAAATTATTAAAGGATTAAAGGGACTGTGAAAGTAATTTCAAGTGATAAAAACGGTTATCTGATCAAAAATGTTAAAGATACATGAAGGGTCACTTGAAATAACGCTTACAGGGGATATCAATGAATTCTTTGAGGTAAGTCTCTACAAGAGCGGAAAACACTTGCCAAATGCTTTCCAACTTTTTTTCTTCCAGATAGATCCAAAAAATACTCGAAAAATCGTCCGATCTCTGGGTAACTTAAAATTACGCTTACAATCCCTTTATAGCAATTATATTTTGTTAGTAATATTACCTTAAGATCTTCATCCATGAGAAAAACTTGATGATAAAGAGAATTCTCCTTGTCCTCTTCATCTTTAATACAGGTAGGAGCCATTCCTACAATCATAATAAAGTCGTTTAGCGAACAAAACTATTATTTGGCCGCTAGGTGTCTCTGCTGTTGATATTTCAGTGATTGTACTTGTAGAAGACACCAAGTAGCCAAAATATCGAAAAATGAAATATCAACTATTGTGAGCCGAACAAAAGGAATAATACTCGAAAGAGGGAAATAAGGCGAATTGGCAAGGAAAACACTCTTTTCTACCAGACACACATAGATGAGAACAACTTGAAAATGTATATTTCAGTAACGAGGTTTCCTACAAAATACAATTGTTATTGGCGTACATGCATATAAATAATAATTGTTAATAAAGATTAAACAGTTGAAGGTTTTATCAATAAATGAGTATTGTTGTGAATCGAACAATTGGTTTAGAAACATGTACCATTGAGAATTGAACAAAGGCTTAAAAGGTATTGGAATTCTAGGTTTTGTAGGTTTAGCAGGTTTAGCAGGATTTGGAAACTCTAGGTTTAGCAGGTTTTGCAGGATTTGGAGATCATATTTTATTGCTGTTGTGAATCGATAAATAAAGGTTTTAAAAAGGCACTGTTGTGAACTGATAAATAAAAGGTTTAAAGGGTTCTTTTAATGCACTTTGCTCCATGATGTTTTTGTTTATATCTACGCGAAAGCCTTGGAAAGGTTTGGTTTGGTAAGTGGACGGAGGGTCTAACGGAGGTACAGTTTGTCAGGGTAATTTTAGGGGTATGGTTCACAACTATATATGAATACATCGAATTGAATCGACATTTATAGGTTGCAATATATGAATAATTAATTTTAAATTTAATTTATCTATTTACGATATGAGAGGAATACTGCCAATCTGTGAATTTATATGGACGCTACGTTCGTAACTGTAGATTAAATATTAATAAAGCTTATTCTGTGTTTTATACGATATTTACATGACTGTTTAAGAAAATTTTAAAAACCCCAGAAGAAGCAGATTAGAGTCCTGAAACGAGATTTTCATTAAATTTTAGACCTGTGCATGCACTTGATTTCTTCAATTTCTTAAAAATTTATTTGCTCAAAATTCCCTGGGTGGCATTTTCTGAAAATTGAGATTATGACTCAGTAGACTGCATATAAATATTTTCCAAAGAAAAAGTTTGGGTGTTTTGACTTAAACCTGATCGGTCCAATTTCAGCAGTGTGAATTATAGTTTAAGTTTGAACTCATTAGCGGAACTGAACTTGTTGTTAAAAACGAAAGGAAAAATACTGGACCCGGTCGTGACATAAATTTATTAAGTCGTCAACGAACGGCTTAAATAAGTGCCCAGCTAAGGCGAGATAGTTTTATTATTGGTGACGGATTTTCAACTAATATAATCTTCAAAATAAGAATTTAATTTAAGAAAATAGCATGGATTAATGTATGATCAACTTGAAATTTGGAAATTTGTTCATGTGGAATTTTAACCTTCATTACAATAATCTTAATTTGATGTTTTTCAGGAGAAGGAAAATTTCATGAATCACTAGTCTTAGCTATTGGAGCCAAAATAATGTAGAACCAAAAACATTATTATTATTAAGGAAATAGTAAAATAAGACTAAAGATCCCCTAAAAATGTTAAAAGCACCCCTCCCCACCCCCGCAATAAAACCAACAGGCACTAAAAACAGGTTTTTGTCGCTATAAACTGACTCGGATAAACCGGGGGCTCGGCTAAGCTGCATAGAAACAACAAGTTTTACAGATTGACGGGTTGAAGAAATTCAAAACCTGCGAGTTAAGAGGTACAACATAAAGCAGGGTAGGAAGTTTGTTTTTAAGTTTTTAACCGTCAACTTTTTCAGCATTTAGCAAGTTGTTAAGTACAATATTATTGGGTTGACAAGTACATTTTTGACGGCCGTTGAAAGGTATATCTTTAGGTAGGTTAAAAAGTAAATTTTTGACGGGTTGAAAGGTATATCTTTAGCTAGGTTAAAAGTACATTTTTGACGGGTTGAAAGGTATATCTTTAGCTTGGTTAAAAAGTACATTTTGGACGGTTGAAAGGTATATCTTTAGCAAGGTTAAAAGTACATTTTTGACGGGTTGAAAGGTATATCTTTAGCTTGGTTAAAAAGTACATTTTGGACGGGTTGAAAGGTATATCTTTAGCTAGGTTAAATAGTACATTTTGACGGGTTGAAAGGTATATCTTTAGCTAGGTTAAATAGTACATTTTGACGGGTTGAAAGGTATATCTTTAGCTAGGTTAAATAGTACATTTTGACGGGTTGAAAGGTATATCTTTAGCTAGGTTAAATAGTACATTTTGACGGGTTGAAAGGTATATCTTTAGCTAGGTTANCCCCACCCTAATCAAATTGTGATATGCAGAGCTAGTAAACAATTAATTTATGTTAAGGCCAGTAACATTCTAGAAATATATTTAATCTAAACTTATTTTCTGCAACCCTATCCCCTCCCTTACCCCCTTAATCCAGCCTCTTTAGGGTTAAAAGTTAAATGCGCGCAGTACGCATTATATATCTTCCGTCTGTCTATCTATCTATCTCTAGACTATCAATATCTATCTATCCCCTTATACAACTATATCTATCTATCTCTCGGTTCATGATATCTATCTATCTATATCTACTATACGTATCTGTCTATCAGTCCTATATACGCAGTAGTCAAGACTCAAGACTCAAAGAGTAGTAGTATTTATTCTATATTATAGGACGGTCATGTGGTTTCATGTTCGCTGTTAGACCAGGACATCTGGAATAAACTTTTTGGTAAGTGTACACTATATATACACTGTACAATGTACACTGAACTATGTACATACCAAGGGAGAAACACCAGGAATACTTTGTTTACAAATATTTACAGCAATCTCAGTGATGCAGTTTTTTTCCTCTCAAAAAATGGATGTTTTCCTATTAAAAAAAAAAATACAAGTTGTAATCATGGATATGGTTGTTCCTGTTTTATTTTTCTTGGTACATACAATGTGTAATATAAGAGTTTAATTTTACTAAATTTGTAGATGAATGATCTCAAATATTTTTCAAACTAAAAAGCTTATAACATACGATATAATAGTTAGAAAAATATTAAGTACTGCTTAATTATAAGTTTTTAAAAACTTTGAGAATTAATTAAATAATAAGAACCAATGGTTCAAAGTCATATGTAAAATACATATAATAGAAAGATACTTAATGATTCTAATATTGTAACATATTATGTAAATACATATAATACAAATACTTTATAATAATAATATTGTAACATATTATGTAAATACTTATAATACAGAAATACTTAATAATACTAATATTGTAATTCATAATGTAAATTACATATAGTAAAAATACTTAATGATAATAATATTGTAATATAATGTAAAATACATATAATACAGAAATACTGAATAATCCTGATATTATAACCCTATAATGGAAAATGTATATATAATACACAAATACAAAATAATGCTAATAATGTAAAATATAATGTAAATGCATAAAATGCAGGAAACATTATAATACAAATATTGTAACATATAATGAAAATGCATAGAATGTTAAATATTTATAATATATATATACACAAAATAATAATAATATTGCTACATTTAATATAAAATACATATTACATCTAATACAAAACTACAATATATTACTAATATAAAAAAAACATATTGAACATAAAATGTATAAAATATAAAAATGCCAATCCTAAAATTGCAACATTCAATGCATTTGTGGTAAAAATTCTTGAAGTTTTCAAGTTCTTCGAATATGTCTGAAATTAAGAAATTCAAAATGTTCGTAACAAAAAATTCTGATATAATTCAACTTTTTATGTTCATAAATCGTTAACAATCATTTAAACAAACCAAATCATAAAACGTATCAACAGGGGCATACGAGGGGGGGGCCGCGCCCCCCCATGCACTTGATTTCTTCAATTTCTTAAAAATTTATTTGCTCAAAATTCCCTGGGTGGCATTTTCCGAAAATTGAGATTATGACTCAGTAGACTGCATATAAATATTTTCCAAAGAAAAAGTTTGGGTGTTTTGACTTAAACCTGATCGGTCCAATTTCAGCAGTGTGANNNTGCAACGTATGTTTTATCGCAAAATCAGATAAATTAAAGACGCTTTTTATTCCTTAACGCTTTAGAAGAAAACTTGTTAAAATACTAAAAAACGAAAAAGATTTAAATATTTAAATTTTATAAAAAACAGAATGAAACACATTGATTTTTCCTGTTGCAATACGCAAATTCTGACCAACAGCATCCTGATTTTGTTGCGCCACTATGTTGAAATATCAAGAATGAACAAGAAAATGATGAAACGTTTCACAGGTGTTTCAAAACTCATCAGTATTCATCAAACCGTCGGAGCAGCAACAAGCTTTAAAATAGTGAAAGCATCACTTAAAAATGCAGTGCTTTATAGGCACATATATCTTAAATACAGACACATTTAATGTGCTGGAAAACAACGTGCAAAGCACTATGAAAGTAATGGATACAGCTTATTGTGAAAATGTGTGTTTTTCTAGTGTTTCCCGGACTGAGGGAGAGAATATTGTACAGTACGGGTGCTGGGACGCGTACAGTACTACTGGGATACAGTACGCAGGAGATAGGGTATGCATACTAGCATTTTCTATTATAGTTTAGAGTGTTTAAATGAAAACTTTTTCTTAATCTTAAATTTTGATGAACAACAAGGTATATTCCTAGAGAACGATTTTAGGACCTAAACAAAATAAAAATAATGATTTTCTAAATACTTTGTTTTATTTCAGTGTTTATACGAGGCTAAGCAGGCAGTTTGTCTGTGTGAGGCAGACCTTTGCAACTCTGAGCCTCCGCCTCCGAAACATCAAGCTCCGGAGGGAACCTTTTGGCACTTTTTGGTCAGCCTTTCAATTCTAATTGGAGTTCTTCTATGCTTGGGAATATGCATATGGATTTGTATTTGCTTTAGGTAAGTGGACAAACTTAAAAATTTAAAGAAATACAGAAAATACAAGGGGGGATAAGAAAGCTCTAGAAAGGAAATGTGCAATATTTTAAAGGATTAAAAGGACTGAAGGAGTAATTTGAAGTGCACCCCCCCCCCCTAACCTTATTGAGTGCCATGTCGGATTCTCAACAGTACCATAAAAACCTACGCCTATTCAAAATGAATGAGATATTCTTGATTTTCGGTGTGAAAATTGTTTGATTTAAACTAGTAACTTATGTAGTTATTCTGCAAAGTCCAAAAAATATCAGAATTCAACACTTAATAAAAAAACGATGATATCCATCAATGTTACTTAAATAGAAATTTAGCGGATATTGTTATGTTCCGAATAAGGCGTGTCATTCTTAAGTAACATATTTTTCAAGAATAAAGACATTTATTTTTATTGGGGGGAGGGGGG